GGGAAAAGGAGAGAGAGAAGCAGAGAGAGGGAGAGAGAGGGAGAAGGAGAGAGAGAAGGAGAGAGAGAAGGAGAGAGAGAAGGAGAGAGAGAAGGAGAGAGAAGGAGAGAGAAGGAGAGAGAAGCAGAGAGAAGCAGAGAGAGGAGAGAGAAGCAGAGAGAGAGAAGGAGAGAGAGAAGTAGAGAGAGAGAAGGAGAGAGAGAAGCAGAGAGAGAGAAGGAGAGAGAGAAGCAGAGAGAGAGAGAGAGAGGAAAGAGAGAAGGAGAGAGAGAGAGAGAGAGAGGAAAGAGAGAAGGAGAGAGAGAGAGAGAGAGAGAGAGAGACAGAAACAGAGAGATAGAGAGATAGACAGAGACTTCTTAACAAAAAATATATTTAACTTAGTGAAGAGTATTTTTGCCAGACGTGTAATCCGAAATACACAGTTTTCGACGACATTTTGGTAACAAGTTGGCAACAATAATAACCCCCAAAAAACAATACTGGAGTCTGCAGCACCTGCCTGGAAACCGTACTTTGTGTAGAATGAAACTAAAATATAAAACGTACAGAAATTTGCTACAAAATTACTGACAGAACTACGTTGGTTAAGCTAAGGGGATTGGCTGAGGGAACTGGATACCACACTCCTTGAGGACAGAAGAAGCAGGAGAGATATGATCTCAAGATAGAATATATTAGGGGAAATAAACAAGAAGGATAAGGTCAATCAAATCAAAATCAAAATCTTCAAAATTGAGAGAAAATAGGACAAGAGGAAACAGGTGGAAGCCTTAAACACAAACGAATCAAAACAATGTATCAACATGAAATAATGTGATCTTGTGAATAATGTGATTTTCGTCCTTACATCCGCTCTTCGTCCGGTTGCAATTCTTTTAACCATGTCTTGGCGCAATCGACTAAGGCGCGTCTGAGACCATCTCGGACGTAGGTTCGAGCCCTCATCAAAGCCCTTGTAGATTTTTTTCATTTGATGTATCACGCTATTGTGATTTCTGAGTGTATAGGGGGAGGTGTATTTTCCTACTCATCCTACAACACGGCCCTTCCCCATCTCTCTCTCACATTCCTCTGATAATCTGAGAGCCTGTGGCATCACCGAGGTGATGCCACAGGTAGCCAGGTGCCAGGTACCCCACCTGGCACTACCTGGTTTACACCCTAACTTGCTGACTGCTGAACCCATCTTTGTGTAGAAGTAGTAATAATAGGCATCCATCAGTTGCTGTACATTACAGCAATGTATTTTGTACTTTCATAGCGCTTTATTTGTTAATTTAGTAATTCATAGTTATATGATATATTTCATGTGAATTATTCTATCTTTTTTTGTTTAAGGAAGAAAGCTTCAAATGCATCTGTTTGAACGTTATTAAGTTCAAGTGGTAAAAATGGCCAATTGATCTGTTGAGAAACTGCTCAATTGATCTGCTGAGAAATTTCTCAATTGATCTGTTGAGAAACTGCTCAATTGATCTGTTGAGAAACTGCTCAATTGATCTGTTGAGAAACTGCTCAACTGATCTTTCGTGAAAATACCAAATTGATCTTTCCCCATATTTTCAATTATTATCTTTCTATCTTGTTAGTCTCAACCTCTCAATCACATGGAGAATCATGTGGATATATGTTATGTGTTATATGTTCGTTCATCACCGCATGCTGTGACTGTACTGGTGGTGGGTGAGCTGTACTTGAGGTGGGTGAGCTGTACCCTGCAGCTTCTCTGTACCAAGCAGCTGGAGGTGATGCTAAAGCCTTGCATTCTGGGAACACTCTCTTTCCATCTACTTCCTAAATGCTGGCTGAGATGCTGGCAGCAGCAGTCTCTGTGTGTTCTCTGTCTGGTAAATTTGTTTTCAATTAAATTTTCATAGACTCTCGCAAAAGTATGGACCCATTAATTGCTTTTTTTTTGTATCCCTTACCGGAAGATTCTGGAGGAGTAGGAGCACTGTCGCGAACAGGTTTACATTACCTAATGGCTTTGTGTTTCTTGGATTCTGACTATTGACAATCTTCTTTGTGCTGCTGATGGTATTCAGTTTGTGAGTGTGTGAAATAGATTCGATGCGATTCCTTCTCTCGGGTATTTTTCTCTGATTACCTGACAAAATTAATGGTATCTCCCCACCAGTTGGTATCTTGTGTCTGGTCTGTGGATTAAACACACACACACACACACAACAAAGCAGCTGGCCCAGATGGCGTTTCACCATGGGTTCTGAGAGAATGTGCATCTGAGCTCAGCATTCCACTTCACCTGATCTTTCAGGCATCCCTGGGTACAGGAATCGTAGCAGACGTGTGGAAACAGGCTAACATAGTTCCAATCTACAAAAGTGGCAGCAGGGAAGACCCCCTCAATTATAGACCTGTATCATTGACAAGTGTAATAGTGAAAGTATTGGAAAAGCTAATCAAAACTAAATGGGTAGAACACCTGGAGAGAAATGATATAATATCAGACAGACAGTATGGTTTTCGATCAGGAAGATCCTGTGTATCGAATTTACTCAGTTTCTATGATCGGGCCACAGAGATATTACAGGAAAGAGATGGCTGGGTTGACTGCATCTATCTGGACCTAAAAAAGGCTTTCGACAGAGTTCCACATAAGAGGTTGTTCTGGAAACTGGAAAATATTGGAGGGGTGACAGGTAAGCTTCTATCATGGATGAAAAATTTTCTGACTGATAGAAAAATGAGGGCAGTAATCAGAGGCAATGTATCGGAATGGAGAAATGTCACAAGTGGAGTACCACAGGGTTCAGTTCTTGCACCAGTGATGTTTATTGTGTACATAAATGATCTACCAGTTGGTATACAGAATTATATGAACATGTTTGCTGATGATGCTAAGATAATAGGAAGGATAAGAAATTTAGATGATTGTCATGCCCTTCAAGAAGACCTGGACAAAATAAGTATATGGAGCACCACCTGGCAAATGGAATTTAATGTTAATAAATGTCATGTTATGGAATGTGGAATAGGAGAACATAGACCCCATACAACCTATATATTATGTGAGAAATCTTTAAAGAATTCTGATAAAGAAAAAGATCTAGGGGTGGTTCTAGATAGAAAACTATCACCTGAGGACCACATAAAGAATATTGTGCAAGGAGCCTATGCGATGCTTTCTAACTTCAGAATTGCATTTAAATACATGGATGGCGATATACTAAAGAAATTGTTCATGACTTTTGTTAGGCCAAAGCTAGAATATGCAGTTGTTGTGTGGTGCCCATATCTTAAGAAGCACATCAACAAGCTGGAAAAGGTGCAAAGACATGCTACGAAGTGGCTCCCAGAACTGAAGGGCAAGAGCTACGAGGAGAGGTTGGAAGCATTAAACATGCCAAAACTAGAAGACAGAAGAAAAAGAGGTGATATGATCACTACGTACAAAATAGTAACAGGAATTGATAAAATCGACAGGGAAGGATTCCTGAGACCTGGCACTTCAAGAACAAGAGGTCATAGATTTAAACTAGCTAAACACAGATGCCGAAGAAATATAAGAAAATTCACCTTCGCAAATAGAGTGGTAGACGGTTGGAACAAGTTAAGTGAGAAGGTGGTGGAGGCCAAGACCGTCAGTAGTTTCAAAGCGTTATATGACAAAGAGTGCTGGGAAGACGGGACACCACGAGCGTAGCTCTCATCCTGTAACTACACTTAGGTAATTACTTAGGTAATTACACACACACAAGAATTTTAGAAAGAATTTTTTCAGTGTCAGAGTAGTTAATAAATGGAATGCTTTAGGCAGTAATGTGGTGGAGGCTGACTCCATACGCAGTTTCAAATGTAGATATGATTGAGCCCAGTAGGCTCAGGAACCTGTACACCAGTTGATTGACAGTTGAGAGGCGGGACCAAAAAGCCAAAGCTCAACCCCCGCAAGCACAATTATGTGAGTACAATTAGGTGAGTACACACACTTCATTCCAGTGCACCTGTCAGACCTAATTTTTCGTGTCTTAATTTTCCCAGGCCATCTTGAAGCATCTTCCCTTCTTCATAGTTATCTCTCTCGTGATCTTCGCGCCACTTGATAAGAAATGATCGTCTCTGTGAGATGAGATAAATGGTAGAGGGGACATAACGTGGGTGCGTAGAGGTTGGGCGGTGGCGTTAATATAGAGTGGCGAGGGAAGTGTAGAGGGAGAATTAGCGTTAACACACAGGGATAGATGGAATGGTGGACACAGTGGTAGAGAGGGAGTGGAGAGACAGGTGGAGGCCACATGACAGCCAACACAGGACGTGGTCGCAAGCCACCACCACAAAAATAACGTATGTCAGCCGGAACGGCCTCGCTTTATAGTAAACAGACTGTTTTTAGACGTGTTGGGGGGTAAAAGGGGTAAGGAGGAGTGAGGGAGAGACAAGGGAGGAGGGTTACAGTGATGGAGAGCGAGCAGGAGGTGTTGGAGATCCAGATGGGAGAGGGAGGGTACACAGTGAGGAAGAAAAAGTGACGAATAAAGAGAAATCATAATATAAAGAGGAAGATATTTGGGAAGGTATAACAAAGGGGACAATGAGGATACACTGTAGTAGTCTAGTACACACTTAACTGTCCCAATTTAGAACGTTAATTACCGTAACATTTGTAGGCATGCTCGCTGAATGGAGGAAAACACCCGGCGGGTTTTCTTCCTATTGGGGAGTGTTGTGCATGTTTTGCTATGGCGGTGTGTCCACTCACAGGACGAGTGGCGCTAATTAATTTTTGTCATTAATTTTAATTTTGCCCCGAGGGGCAAAATTAATGACAAAATTATGTTTATATATAGCATTTCAAAAAGGAAAAATATACATCCGTCATATATTTATATACATACATATATATATATATATGTGTGTGTGTGTGTGTGTGTGTTAATGTCTTGGGTATACTGAAACATACCTTGGTAATCATTAACCGAAACATCTATTGACAGGACAGACAGAGCGGAGAGAGCAAGAGAAAGGACCGAATCGCGATGACGATCAAGCCAATACAAGTCGAAATGGCTGTTGAGGAGAGAAATCAGTCGACTGCTTGCCGATGTCGAGAGGTGGAGAGCGCGGTCCTCCCCGCGCCCCTGTGATAGACAAGCAGGGGCTCATTAACACCTAAATATATATATCATGCATCGAAGGGGAATTGGGAACAGACAGGAGAGGAGATACGAACCCGCAAACACTACGCCGCACATCGACCCGAGGAAACGTACACCTCTAATTCACGTCAGGCGGGCGTGTTGGCGGCGACGGACGTGTGACGGAGAGGTGATGGACGTCCGTCGCACGCCCTGAGCCGTTATCAACAACGCGGGCCATTCATTACTGCATGCTCCTCGCCAGGGGTTTCCACCAGCGTCTTCAGCAGTCTTGTTCCTCTCCTTGTTACCGTGGGAGGCTGGTCGATTGAGTTGAGACGTGCTGGGAAGAGTAGAGGGGCGAAGGGGTCTCAAATATGTATTCTTACCTATATGTGTCTGTAAGGTGGGAGGGGGTTGAACTTCAGCTCCTTAGACCCCCTCTGGGAAGTCTGTGAGGTTGAGCCACTACCAGAATATTCAATTATGTGACAAATCATTCAAAAAAAAAAATCATGGATTGAATGTGAAGCTGTAAGCTATTTTAGACCTCCTGGGCTGTTGTACAATCAAGTATACAATTATTTCATTGAATCTGGTATATTCGAAGACATCCTAACAATTTATTCTAATTTTTTTTGTCCATTATAAAGCATGAAGTATGAGAATTTTATTGATTATTCTTGACCAGACCACACACTTGAAAGTGAAGGGACGACGACATTTCGGTCCGTCCTGGACCATTCTCAAGTCGATTTTGACTTTATTGATTATTATTATTATACTTTTTTAGCTGCATATCTCATGAATATATTATATATATATATATATATATATATATATATATATATATATATATATATATATATATATATATATATATATATATATATATATATATATTTATTCAGAGTACATCTAATTGAGAACACACACGCACACACACACACACACACACACACACACACACACACACACACGCACACGCACACGCACACGCACACGCACACGCACACGCACACAAAAGTAATGTCGACACAGGGTCTTGTGGCGTTATCGCCCGACAATCGCGTCCTTCATCTCGGCATTAGTCTAAAAGAATGTTATCGTAAGAGATGTGTTGAGTGAGGCGTGTCTTAGTATCTCACAGGCGCAGACTGCGTTTAGCTGCTCCCCTTCTGTATCACAGCTACAGCAGGCCTTCTGTATCACAGCTACAGCAGGCCTTCTGTATCACAGCTACAGCAGGCCTTCTGTATCACAGCTACAGCAGGCCTTCTGTATCACAGCTACAGGAGGCCTTCTGTATCACAGCTACAGCAGGCCTTCTGTATCACAGCTACAGCAGGCCTTCTGTATCACAGCTACAGCAGGCCTTCTGTATCACAGCTACAGCAGGCCTTCTGAATCACAGCTACAGCAGGCCTTCTGTATCACAGCTACAGCCGGCCTTCTGTATCATAGCTACAGCCGGCCTTCTGTATCACAGCTACAGCAGGCCTTCTGTATCACAGCTACAGGAGGCCTTCTGTATCACAGCTACAGGAGGCCTTCTGTATCACAGCTACAGCAGGCCTTCTGTATCACAGCTACAGCAGGCCTTCTGAATCACAGCTACAGCAGGCCTTCTGTATCACAGCTACAGCCGGCCTCTGTATCACAGCTACAGCAGGCCTTCTGTATCACAGCTACAGCAGGCCTTCTGTATCACAGCTACAGGAGGCCTTCTGTATCACAGCTACAGGAGGCCTTCTGTATCACAGCTACAGGAGGCCTTCTGTATCACAGCTACAGCAGGCCTTCTGTATCACAGCTACAGGAGGCCTTCTGTATCACAGCTACAGGAGGCCTTCTGTATCACAGCTACAGCAGGCCTTCTGTATCACAGCTACAGCAGGCCTTCTGTATCACAGCTGCAGAAGATCTTTGTATCCCAACTACATCAGGCTACGGTTCCAATATTGTACATAGCTCTATTACAACATAGCTCTGCTGCAATTACATAGCTCTGCCGCAACACAACGCTGCTGCAACATAGCTTAGCTGCAAAACAGCTCTGCTATACAATAATGGCAATACTCAAGAGAGACATGATCACGACCTACAAAATTCTCAGGAATTTAAATAAAAAAACTTTGTTTTTTTATTCATTGAATCTTAAGCTCCACTGGAGATTAAAGTCGTTTTTCACTGAGGACCAAGTTGTACTTGTCTAGTTATGCTTGCAAGGGTTGAGCTTCGGCTCTTTGGTCCCGCCTCTCAACAGTTATGTGTTGCGTCTGTGAGCCTATTATGAAAAGTGTAATGGGCTTGAACTCGCGGCTCTGGGCTTATGAATCCAGTTAAATCATTTTGGTTCTGGGGGACGTACACGTGTTCAATCCCACCCCATGACCATAATATTTTATCATGGATGGATAATGCTGTATCTTCACTGTAACTTATAAAGGGGTCACATCAGGTGTCTCTCAGGTGGTTTCTTATTTAGTTAGGTGTTAATTATTCTAATTTTTTTGCCTGAAAATGTGTCAAATGTCTGTATGCTTAGATTATATGCAGTATTCGCTCTGAATAAACAGCTGTGGGACAGCTGTGTGGATTTCTCTATGTTAACAGTGCTCTCATCCCCTCAACCATGCTAACACAGCTCTCAACCATGCTAACAGCCTCCTTAACTATGCTAATACCGCTCTCAACCATGCTAACAGCTTCCTCAACTATGCTAACACTATGCTGACAGCACCCTCTACCATGCTAACAGGGCTGTCTTTATACCTTGTTAATTAGTTATACTAACACCCTTCTCATCCATACTAACATCCATCCCTATTGCAATATTTCCTTCGTAAGATCACACAAGGGATAAAGAGATTCGAGTCAGCATCCTCAACATCATGCGAGGAGTCAGCATTCTTTACTCCCTCTCTGCTGACCAGGGGTGAGATACAGACCTCAGGGACAAGTTATATATATCATCGCCTGCCACATGTTCAAATTCTTGAATCCCCCTTTATCTCTTAAAACAAATTATTGCACGAAAATTATACTGTGGTATTTATCTCTCTTTAGTAGTGTTTGGTATTTTGTTCTTATAACAATTATATATTATATATATATATATATATATATATATATATATATATATATATATATATATATATATATATATATATATATATATATATATATTATTTGCTTGAACATTAATTTGGTTCTGTAATAACAAGTTAATTCTAAGTTCCTCTTAAGTCACCAAAACGTTTAACATTTTCATAAGCTGTATATTTAAAGACAATTAAGGAGAAAATTCTCTGAGGATCTTGTGTGTTTAAGAGTATCCAAGATTACAGGAATTAAAGTCTTAAATGAAGTTAAGGGTTGTTACTAAAATGAGAACTGCCTTGTGGGCCTCTTGTCCACAACTGGCAATCCTCCTGAACTCTGTTGTCTAACTATAATGAAAGAGAATTTCACTACTATCTCATAGATCAGATTAAATTTCAAGTGAAAACATCAAATTAGAAGCAATAAGCTTCTGTTCAGAAATGCAGAGTTATTTCTGAACAGCCACACGCTATAGGATGAATGGGAAGACTTGGGTTAATAGTGAGCGTTTGGAAATGGCATGACAATTGAATGGCCGCCCTGACTTCCACCCATTATCCAGGCGATGAGTCACAATAACGTGGCTAAAGTAAGTTGACCAGACCACACACTAGAAGGTGAAGGGACGACGACGTTTCGGTCCGTCCTGGACCATTCTCAAGTCGATTGAATCCGATTGAATGTCACCCAAATCACCACCCACCCAGCTATCCTAGCCACCCAACAACGTTAGCCGCCCAGCTGACCAGTCACCCAGTTGTGCCAAGGCAAGCCAGCTAAGCTAGCAACAAAGCCATGGCTGGCCAACCCAAAGCAACGAAGCCATCAACCAAACTATACCAGGCCAAAGCCCGCTAAGCAGAGACAATCTCCCAGACAAAACTCCATCTTTGTCTCCGCGCTATTAGCCTCCCATACGTTAAAGTTTACAGAGTTATTCCACCTCAAATGATTTGCATGAAGAGCTGCTCATTACCTTCCCATAATGATGAGACTGGCGGCCCCCAACCCTTGTTAAGGATGGGATAAAGAGGAGTAGAGAATCTGCTAATGATATCAAGGATTGCATACATAGCCACCGGTGAGAGGGTGATTACAGAGCTGGCGTCCTAATGCCCCTCACTCCTGTTATTTCCAGACGCTGCAAAAAAGAAAAAAAAGGAATAATAATAATAATAATCCTCTCGTATATACTTATAATCTGGAGGTAAATTTTGCTATAATGCGTTCAGGATGCATGGGTAAAGCCCGTTTAATGTCTGAGGAGAAATTTGGGCGTTTTAATGATCCCGGCGAGAAGCTACAAAAGTTGAATATATATATATATATATATATATATATATATATATATATATATATATATATATATATATATATATATATATATATATATATATATATATATAAATGGGTGTTGTATCTTTATTAAAGTCCCATTTACAAGCTACCATTACTCTAAGTACTTAGTACATCATCCAATTATACTAGTATGCTGTTCCCCCCCCCCCCCCCTTCCCCACCCACAAATCTCATACATATGATATCACATTAACTAAAACGTCATCCGGTGCGTCCAGTGACTGGAAGAATGAGGGGTTTGTGGGGTTGAGGTGTTCCTCCGGTGAGTGGGACCTCCAGGTGTGCAAGGGGGGGGGGAGGAAGTTTAGACAGGTGTCAATCGACATCATAGTGTGGACACCTGTCAGAGCTGTGGATGATGATTAATAACATCATTATTCTCAGGGGTGGTGTTGGCTTTTTGTGTGGCCAGGTAAGTAGTAAATACAGAGGAGGTTATGGGAGGTAGTTAACCGTGGTAGAATTGAGGTGCTTGTAGGTACTCTGGTTAAACCAGCAATTGTAACGCCTCCAATAGTACACACACACACACACACACACACGCACACACACACACACACACACACACAGAGTACACGTGGGCACTGCCTACACGACACCGAAGAAGAATAAAAATGCATTACCATAATTGCAGGGAGGCGGGCAATAGCTCGCTCCCAAATGGTACCATGGAGGGGTATTAACACCTCCCTCCTGCCACCCCTCACTTCTACCACCTTCACACCAAATAAAATACCCAACAAAATTACTTTTGGAAATTCCCCCTTTACCAAATGAATTTCTACAGCCATCCTAAGCGCGCTTATACATTCACTCGGGCTCCTTTCCTTCCCATTACTCTCCGCTGGGTATTAAACGCATCTCCTGAAGGCAATACGGACGATACAAAATGGGAAAAATCGATGAGAAAGAAGCACAATGGTCAGTGTGGGGTATAATTGTAAGATACTGCCCACAGTTACTGTCAGCGAACAGGCAATAAGGTGTTGAAACCGGTGGACAATAGACAGTTTGGGGGTTGTAAGAATAATCTAAACGGCCCTGATGTAAATCTAGAACCTAATAAATGGGGGTGGATACAGGGCGAGGGCCTCGAGGCGCCCACTAAGTCTCTGGCACCCTTCACTCTCCTATCCTCTCCTGCCATTTGGCTTTAAAGACTCCTTTAGAATGCATACTTTAGGGTCATTTTAATGTATTTTATCACATTCAGGGTATGTATTTGACTGCCATTTACCGCTAAAGACCTCTTAAGATTGGAGACTACCTTGTTATCTTGTGGCTAAGATTAGGACGCACGCTGCATTTTTTCTTTTGTTTTATCTATATTCTCTCCTCCCCTCGTACGTATATATATATATATATATATATATGTATATATATATATATATATATATATATATATATATATATATATATATATATATATATATATATATATATATATATATATATATATATATATATATATATATATATATATATATATATATATATATATATCATTTTGGCCTAAAGACGCCTGCAAAAGGTGTATAATTCCGCATCACATACCTTTAAAAGATCATTTAAAAAAATATAATTTACCATCATATCAAGATTTTTCGCTTAATTCTTTTTTTTTATTCACTGGTGAACTTAGCGTCAACCTAAGTAGGAACTCTTAACGAACACATATTGCCTCGCTGATACTCAGGGTGCTCTTAAACAGGACAAATTTTCCTGAAGTTCTGCACTAAACACATTTTTATAATTAGACCCATTTTACCTTGAATAAAAAAAAAAGCAGAACGAAATATGGGTTATGAAGTCCTTTCTTTTTCTTGTGTCTTCTGAGCATTATTCGCGGATAATAATGCTTATATACCCTCATTTGCAGGAGTTTGCTTGCATATACTTTTTTTTTGTGATTGCTATTAACGTCAAGTTTCGCTTACATAAAGACTTGGTGTTTGCATATTCTCTGCCTCTTTTGTTGGCGTCCATGACAACAGCATGCAGCATTCTCCCTGTCACAGCATTTGTCGATGCTGTGACACAGCATTTGTCGATCATCGACGTATCTGTCCTTCTTACAGATACAGGTCATGTCAAAGAAAATGCTACTGACAGAAACATCTATCGGATCATGCTTATATGTAAACACACCAGTTTGTAGACTTTGATTTGAACGCCGTCCTGCAAAAAAGCGAGTCCGTCGAAGCTGTGCTGTCCAGTCCAGCTTCATGGTGTCCAGCTTTATAGCGTCCAGCATCTTTTTTTATTTGCATTTGATTTATATATGCAAGAGTTCTTACATTCTTGTACAGCCACTAGTACACATACGTGGCAGGTCCTTAATCTTAATATTCCCTTGAAAACCCGCCAAATCGTTTAACAACCAGGTACCCATTCACTGCTGGGTAAACAGAAGCTACAGTTAAGGATTGTCGGCCAGGTAATCCTCCCCGGCCAGGATACGAACCCAAGCCAAAGCGCTCGCGAAGCGCCGGACGAGTACTTTACCACTGCACCACGGGGAGTGAATCATAGTGTCCAGCATCAGCTGAGGGTTGGGTTAACAGCCAGGCGGTGGGCAGGGCAGGAGAAACCTCCCCGTCGTTTGTTTATTGTAAAGACCAAGGCGAACATTAGCGTCCGGCTGGGCGGAGTAAATAAAGTGGGAACCCGGAGCCTCAACTGACTCGGCTCACGCAAATACATTAAATAACCGGCGGCCGGCCCCATCCCTTAACTGTGTGCTTGGTGGCCGCTCGCCTTCCGGATGAGCCGCTCTGCCTTCTCTAAAACACACTAATGAAGACAATAACACGAGTTTCACGCTTCCACCTCAAGGGAAACTCGCTCGCGATACACCGTCGACGGGCCCACTCGCTCGCGATACACCGTCGACAAACCCACTCGCTCGCGATACACCGTCGACAAACCCACTCGCTCGCGATACACCGTCGACGAGCCCACTCGCTCGCGATACACCATCGACAAACCCACTCGCACGCAATACACCGTCGACTGGCCCACTCGCACGCAATACACCGTCGACTGGCCCACTCGCTCGCGATACACCGTCGACAAACCCACTCGCTCGCGATACACCGTCGACAAACCCACTCGCTCGCGATACACCGTCGACGGACCCACTCGCTCGCGATACACCGTCGACGGGCCCACTCGCTCGCGATACACCGTCGACAAACCCACTCGCTCGCGATACACCGTCGACGGACCCACTCGCTCGCGATACACCGTCGACGGACCCCTTGTGCTTTGTTTAAAATAACTATCGGGAGGCCTTGTTCATGTTGGGACGGGCGGGGCTGGGTTTACCCCAAGGGTTCTCGACAGCTATTGCTCTCTGATTAGCTTTTATGTCCTCATTGTGGCTTGATTCCAGGCCAAATATAACTCCAGCCAGCTGACTGAAGACGCCACGAGGCCATTACTCATCCTGGACGAGCTGGGTTAATCACTGCAGAATCTTCGGGGGGTTGATGCAAGTGTTTAACGCCTCGATTAAATTATATATATATATATATATATATATATATATATATATATATATATATATATATATATATATATATATATATATATATATATATATATCACAAAATCATGATATACACGTGATATTAATCACGTGTTTACTTTCGTGATATACACACACATATATAATATATATATATATATATATATATATATATATATATATATATATATATATATATACTGTCTGGTGGTTGCCCTCTATCATGACTGGCTCTAAACAATTCATGTGTTTCAACACCTGATTTATGCCCATTCGAGCTTCTGTGATTTCTCTTCAATCAGCCCTAATTTCTTGGAGAAATGTGATTTCTAACAAAAAAGATTAGGATGCTTGGGTTAATTCCTGTTTACTTCATGCAGTATGACATCAAAGCTAAGGTAAGGCTCCTAGGTAGCTCCTATTTATACCCGCCCAATTTCATTCATGAGTGTCTAGCCTACGCTTGAAACAATAATCCCTTGTCTGTGTCATCTTGCTGGTTATTTACAAGAGTAGACGGTATCCATACAAAGAGAGATTCAGAAGCCCTTATTCAGTGCATCAATTAGATCGTGTATAATTGTCTTACGAGACTCTCTCTGTCTCTTTTTACAAGTGGGGTTCTGTAGTGCTTGAAAAGCGATCATAGAGACAGAAAATTACTTCTCGTCTTGTATATATGTAGTACATACCAATACACTCATATGTAGTGTATACGTAAACACTACATATGTGTTTGCTAGCTCAAGTGCTGTTTTGTGTTTGAAACTTTGTGTGTGTTGTTTAGTCTAACGCTAGTAGTAGTCTTTGTATATGTGTTCATTCGTTTGTAAAGCTTTGCATATATGTGTTCATTCGTTTGTAAAGCTTTCAAACTGCCGCAGTACGGTCTGTTGATGGTTGGACGGAGCCGACGGTGTAAACACGACCCTCGTGTGGCCTTAAATTATTTACAGAAGCGTCAACAGCGTCAAGTGACGCATACAGGCTGCGTATTGGTGCGTTGGTTTACCCCTATCTAATGATATGATTGGTAGCGCCGGGTTGCTTAAATCTAAGCAGTGTTGGAGGTGTTGAGTCTCACATCGTATTGCTGAACGTTGAGAGTAAAGTTGTGCAATATTTTCGCATATGATTATTTGAGGATCAGGCCTCCTGGTTGCTGGACTGGTCAACCAGGCTGTTGAACGCGGCTGGTCGCAGCCTGACGTACGAGTCACAGCCTGACGTACGAGTCACAGCCTGGTTGCTGGACTGGTCAACCAGGCTGTTGAACGCGGCTGCTCGCAGCCTGTTGTATGAATCAGAGCCTAGTTTATCAGGTATTCTTTGAAGGTGTTCATCAAGATCTCTCTTAAACACTGCGAGAGGTCGATGGGGAATCCTGGTTTCTTATAAATTTCATTTACAATGTCACGGTGGATTCCCATCTCGAGACACACCAATACTGCCTACAAGTTTTCTGAGTGTTGCTTATAAACTTAAAAAATCTGAAGTTCATTGTGTATATTTGGGGATATTGAATCGGAAGCAATAAGGCCACAGTCACTGGCGTGGCGCGGTCAAAGAGTGCTTGCAGACGGTCCTGTCTGCGATCATGCAGATATCTGCATATCAGATAAACCCACTCGAGCTGACATAACTCTTATCAGTTATTAGTCTATGCCTCAACCCACGTGCTGGGCTGACCGCCATTCTGATTATACGTCTGTGTTATAAGAAACATTATTTGCTCCCTCAAATACATCCTGATTCTTTCGTCAGATATCCCTTTTTACTCTTAAGAAAAGCTAATTGCTTTAAGTTATCAGTTGCAGCTTGCAGGTGAATGAATGCAACTTGGTTGCTTCGTTCCAGCACGGTAAACAACTCAGCAATGCAGGTTTGGATAATTCTCACAGGGAAATAGACACACGGGCTAGAATCAAGTTGATTTTGGATTTGTAACATTAGCATATCCATAAGAATCTTCTCAAGATTTGCGTTGGTGTTGGGCTGAAGGCCTATATCAACTTCTGGAAAATTATTAAGGCCACTACAATAAATAACTGGCCCCCAACCAGCTAGTATACTGTAGTATACTAGCTGGTTATTTTTCAGGACATAAGTAAACTCTCAGGATAGACACATCAAGAAGCTAGGTATACCTCTTGGGGTATATATACGCCCCTTACGTCACAACATTACACTTGCAGGAAGTTAAAACCTCGGTCTTAAATAATTATTTTCGCTTGGGTATAGAGGGTATTATGCCCTGGGTACAGGGAGTATAATGTCCTAGGTATAGGAAGCATGATGCCTTGGAAATAGAGAGCATAATGCCATGGATATACAGAGTTTGATGCTCTGGGCAGAAGAAGAACGATACCTAGGATATAAGGAGCATAATGCCCTGGGTATAGGGAGCAGGATGCCCTGTAGGGTATAGGGAGCAGGATGCCCTGTAGGGTATAGGGAGCAGAATATCCTGGGTATAGGAAGCAGGGTGCCCTGCGCCAGCGGTCTCGTAAGGTACCAGGTCGTTTACTTTAAATATTAGTGGGTACAGGAGAGAATAGCGGCTGACTCTTGTTAACAGGCTCAGCGTGTCCCTTACAGCTCATTTTAAGCCTTACCCTATAAATGTTCCAATGGAACACGATCTGCTAATCGCTATACAACCAGGTGCCCACTTACTACTGCGTGAAGAGGGCTGACCATTGAAAAATGGGCGCCAGGGCACCCTACCCAATTCAGAGATGGAACCTGCCAACCAATCAGCACATGCCAAACATATACCTACCTCAGTTAAAAGCTCTGATAATATGTGCCTGCCACTACATGTGGCTGTAGATACATGTGCCTGCGAATAACCAGACATCAAATCAATATACAAAGTCGGGAGAAGTCTCGAAGGTTGCAAGCGGGTTGAGCGGGTATAGAGAAGCAGAGAGAACACATCTCAGGGTACCCGCTTCGACTCGAGCATCCCCGTGTGTGTATGTGTATATACAGATATATGTATTGATTAATGTATTAATACTTAAGGAATTTTCTCTTTCATTTTCCATCGTGGTCTGACAATGACAATATATATATATATATATATATATATATATATATATATATATATATATATATATATATATATATATATATATATATATATATATATATATATATATATATATATATATATATATATATATATATATATATATATATATATATATATATATATATGGCCGTGGTCAAGAGCACACCGTGTTGATCCCTGGAAGAGCGTCAGCCGCGACTTGGAGTGTGGCCGGGAGAGGTTCCATGACAGCTGGTGTTGACCAAGTCTACAAGGAGCTGTGTTGCTTACCTCGCCAAGCAGAACCAAGCCCGAGCCCTGGGCGATCAACCAGCCCTCTCCGGGGCTCGAACCCTCGTCGCCACCCACCTGTGGACGCTTGAGCACCTCGAGTGGACTCCCGTTTCACCGATTAACTGCGCCGTTAGACTCTCGAACTTTTAACGTTTTTTTAATTTCATGGTCACTCGGAACACCTAAATCCTTCCTCATGTCGGTGACATGACGCTTCTTGACAGACGAACATCGATGAAAAAATCTTCCCTGTGATTTTGTGAGAATAATGTGCGCGGAGAAAAGGTGGAATTAAGGTCTCGAGTTGATTTTGAATGTTCTATCCACAGAGCTTGACATACAAGGAATCATCAAGAGGTCATTAAGTAGATGGAATCATCAATAGGTTTTGAAGCACAAGGAATCATCAAGAGGTCATTAAGCAGAAGGAATCATCAAGAGGTCATGAAGCAGAAGGAATCATCAACAGGTCTTGAAGCACAAGGAATCATCAACAGGTCTTGAAGCACAAGGAGTCATCAACAGGTCTTGAAGCACAAGGATCATCAACAGTTCTTGAAGCACAAGGAATCATCAACAGGTCTTGAAGCACAAGGAATCATCAAGAGGTCATTAAGCAGAAGGAATCATCAAGAGGTCATTAAGCAGAAGGAATCATCAACAGGTCTTGAAGCAGAAGGAATCATCAACAGGTCTTGAAGCACAAGGAATCATCAACAGGTCTTGAAGCACAAGGAGTCATCAACAGGTCTTGAAGCACAAGGAATCATCAACAGGTCTTGAAGCACAAGGAATCATCAATAGGCCTTGAAGCACAAGGAATCATCAACAGGTCATGAAGCACAAGGAATCATCAACAGGTCATGAAGCACAAGGAATCATCAACAGGTCTTCAAGCACAAGGAATCATCAACAGGTCCTGAAACAGAATGGTCCAGGATGGGCCGAAACGTCAATTCCATTATTTACAGATGTGTGAGCCGGCCGTCCATTTTCCAGTCACGTTATTATGACTCAAAAATATAATTGATCAAAATTATATTTTGATGTGTGTATATTTTGCAATGACTAGTATTCAATAATCTTGATTATGTCTAAAGTTTTCACAGCCGGAAAAATAATGATAATAAAAGCAGGCAATTTCTCTGACGTTTGTGATATGTTGAAAGTTGTCGTCGATGAAATGAAACAGTTGAAAATAAATACCTGGAATTATCCAATTCCATTTATATAAAGCATGAAATGTATCTTATAAATCTTGGCTTACTTGTGATATGAAGAAAAAATATGAACTGGTGATCTAAATGCCAGAGAAAATATTTGATTCCCTGTGTGTTCAAGTCTGAAGCCAAATGTTTGGGGTTAGCCTAACCAAACTTTGCAGGAGAACACGGTTTGGGGT